TGCTTGTTCTGCTTGACTGTCTGTCTGAAGTGTTATCAGACTGAGTGCCAGGCAGACAGGTCTGTTGAGAAGACACTCTTTGCAGAGACTTGGTGACAGATCAAAAAGATCCTGTCTGCACCAAACTGTTCACTTTTCATATAAACCAATTCAGAGCAGAGCACACAAAAATGAATTATGTATGTTGTTTAGAGTTGCTTAATCCAAATCATGATATAAAGACACTGCCAATTGCAAAGTGTCCCAATGGGAGTTGGTGGAATGTATTGAAATATATTTACCTCTTAGCACACATTTGAACTTCTTTTCAACATTTTTCAAAGGTGTATCATTATGTAATTGTTTATATGGAGACTGGAGAATCGAAAGAGTTTGCATTTTTTCCTGAAAGGTTCCAGCTGAGAGAGGAGGAGCAGAAGAGGGGACCAAGTTTTTGGCAGAGAAGTTTATATTATGCAGTGGAACATTCCAGGCAAGACAGTGACATTTTCATGCATTTATTATTTAACCATTTATTTTTTATGCATATTTTTGGGGATGTGTGAATATCTATCAGGATATTGTAATATTAGAAGATTCACAGTAATGTTTTAGTTATTTTTGGTGGCTCCTTTAATATTTTATACTAGTAGTTTATTGATACTTTGCAATGACATCATGCTGAGGGTGTTCTGCATGTATCTCTAATGCCAAAATGTTTAGGAGTTACACAACACCCATATTTGCAAACACTGTGGAAAAGAATGTCTAAAAACTCAAGAAAAAAAAACACAAAACAACACATTTTCAGCAGCCTGTGATCAATGCGAGTGTTCAAGGAGTTTGATTTTCCACAAAATGATGAGAGTGACTAACTGAAAAAGCTGCAAAGTATCAATATATTCCGTAGGCTAGCTAAAACAGACCATAACACACTTTCAGACTTTCGTTTGCAATGTGTTACTGGGGGTCTTGGGGCCTTGGAGAGCACACCTACAAGCAAACAACCCATAAATCAATTTGTGTTGAATTATTAATGGTGCTCTTTAGTCATATATATGTTCACTGTCAGTACCTGTATAAAGGCTTAAACGTAAGACTATTCTGTAAATGACAAAGATAAAATTAAACAATATAGATTACTCTCTTTTGAATGGCATTTAAATTTCCATTCAAAGCATGCCTATTTGCATTTTGTTTATTCATTTAACTGGGATAGACAGACACAAGTGAATTGGATTGTGGTTGCCAAGGTGGTTGGCTGGTTTCAGTTCAGTAGTGTGTGCTGTTGATTATTGGTCCCTACCGCATTAAAACGGTGCTTCTTCATTATGTTTTGACTGTCAACTTGGAGCAGTCACAAGGTGTTATTGAGGCAGTAATGTCCCACTGCATCACTGCTTTTTCTGGAGGAGCCAGCCATGTGTGAAGCAGGTCTTTTACCTGAATGGAAGCAGTCAGGCGTGGGTCAAAGCAGACTTGTACAGGACATACAAAGGCATATTTTTATTATGTAATGTATAGAGCAGCATGCCCCCTGTCTACTCATGCAAGAATACAATTTATAGAACCACTCTGATAGCGCTTACACTCTATAGTTTTAGGTCAAGTTTGGGGAATATTCATATTATTTGTCATGTAATGTAAATATAAACAATAAGGGGTAAAAATTGGTGAAGAGGAAGGCTAATTTAAATTTCATCATGGAAAATAAGAAACCTTTTTAAAACCATAATACATTTCTTATTGCCTTCTCTCTAATTTCAAGCATGTTTCTAGCAATGTATCAATTTCAGTTTGTATGACGCTTTAGAGTAAAGAGCTTATTCTTCTTATATATATATTTTTCAGATGTGTTTGATTAAATTTCACAGTTTCCAGTATATAATATTCAAATGTGGTAACTTTGTCATTATTGGCTTGAGTTGCGACTATACAGTGTTTCTCTTAGAAATCCACATTATAACAGGATAACGTGGTGTACAGTCACCCCAAGTGGTTTTTATGTGTTTTGAGCCATACTCGAGCTCTCTGCTTTGTGTTACGCTCTTTACTGCTTCCCCCAGCAGCCTTCATTACATTCACACAGCACTTGTCTCATTCTCCCCAACCACCAATTACCAGGGTAAAACGTGTCTTACCCTGTGCACACCATTCACTGCACATTTCTCCATGCAGCGATTGTTTTAATCCATTTAAGTCCTCATAATCTTCCCTATGGTGAGGCAGTTTGATAAAGAGAAAATAAATAGCTATTTTTGCTGCAAACCCCATTTTAGAAACAGAAAGACACTTCAAAGCATTCAGTGTGGGTCGGTATTGGCAGATCAACACAACTACTTTAATCGGTTTAAATCCTGGGACGGTAAAGAAACTTAATTTGATTTTTTGAGTGGTGTCACATTCATTAAAACCAATAAATGAGCCAAGAAATAAAATGTATTTCTGTGTCTGACTAAAAGACATGATTGACATAAATTGATATAACACAGTATACTACTTTTGTAATTTACTTTAACTCCAGCAACAGTCAATATTCAAATACTACTGATTTATTGTTTACCCAAATCACATAATTGCACCAATGAACTTGTGACCTTGAATCCATTCAGATGGAATAGATTGAGTCAGGCAATGAGGCAGGTTATCTTGAGCTATCTGCTGTGCTGGAAGACAATACCGTCCTGGAGTTTCATTATATTTTAACATCAGCTGTAAGTAATCTGGTCCAGTGAGAATTAAGAGGCTACATGTGAAAAATGTACCTGGCATTAACTTCTTGCCCTGGTGATTTGTTGATATTCAAAACTCAACTCATTGATATGAAAAAAAACATGTGTGTGCGTTCAAAGATTGATACTCTACACATTAACCTGAATAAACAGGGTTAGGTTTGGTCAGTATTGCAAGAATAATGTTAACATATCTTGAAATATCCACTAAAAACAATTAGTCATAAATACTTCTTAAAATTTTGATCATATGAATATGTCTACCTAGAAATGACATGTGCTTGTTGTCATATGAATGTAATGCCTTTGGGGATGGGTGTTTGTGACCAGAATGGAAACGTACAGTATTTAGACCAACCAGTTAGAAATGCTTGGACTGATAACCAATATTAAACAGATATATATTATTCTATATTGTGATTTTTTTGTTTTATTAAGAGTAAAGTCTCTCCCTGTATCTCTGCAGTCCATGTGTCATCTGCCTCCTCCCTGTAGCAGCAGCAGCAGCAGCAGCAGTAATATTTCAGTCCCTCCTTCTCAGCCCCCTGCCCTCTGCTCTTTTCTCCTCCATTTAACAACTAAAACAAAGTTCATAACTGATCATTTAGGAGGGAATGAAGTCAAATCATGTCTGGGGAAAAAATAAAACAGCTTTTACTGTCAATCTAGCATTTATTTAATGAAATGCATTGTCTAAAACTTTTCTAAAGCCTTTAAAAGTCTGTAACTTTGTTTCAGTGGGTCTTTTGACTTGGAGTAAAGACTGTATAACAGTTTACAGTCTGCTCTGTTAAAATGCAGCAGTGTGCTTCTATCCCAGCTGCCTGCTCTTTCCATAGAGCTGTTTTCTTCCTGCAGGCCGGCAGGGTTAACTCTTTCATTACTGGAGCATAATATTGACCAACTGGTATTGGTGCTTTTAGCTGATACTGATATTACACATTCACATGGATATTGGCCTATACCGATATTGGCCTGATATATTGGCGCAGGCAGTGTGAGTAACTAGGATCTCTTTTGAGAGATTGTGAGCCTGTTGATCAGAATTGGTGAGATTCCCCACTTGTTATGGACTATTATTGACTCTTGTCATTGAAGTATGAGGTTTGTAAATGGTTTGGGTTCAGACTGGAGCTGGTCTTTTTGCAGCAGGCTCTGGGGCAAGTGAGTGATGTTGGTTATTGACTGTATTGACCGATGGTTCAGGAGCCACTGCCCTGAGGATCTTTGAGTCGTGCTGTGGAGATGTATGGGTCTGAAGGCTGCATTGATTTGCAATTATTACTGTGTATGAAAACCAACAGATAGGACACTCACCAGCACTGTGGTGTATTATGGCATAGTGAGTTGGTCAGCATGTAAAAATTACACAATCATTTTCATTTTCATCATCAAGAGTAAGTTGGATCATAAAAGTGGGATTAGCTCTTACCAATGAACCATCTAAACCAACCAAATACTAAAGCTAACAGGATTTGTGATGCTTGATGAAAAAAAAAAAAAAAAATAAAAAAAAATATATATATATATATATATATATATATATATATATATATATATATATATATATATATATATATATATATATAAAATGTATGTGCAGCACTTCAGAAGTTGTGTGCCTCTCAGACTAGCAGTGTTTGAAAGCTGGAGTGACACTGGCTTCAACATACAGAACGACAATAGCAATGTGTGACTTTATTCTAACTGCAAATCAAGCTAAAAAGAATCATACATGAAAGATGTTTGCCAAACCTTACATTGTTTTGACAAAAATATTTTTTTTTCTGACCCATAACAATTTAGCAAACAATTAGTCCAGATAAATTGTATATTTTGTAAACAGCCATGGCTGTAATTAAAATACTGAACCTGTACACACTTCTCTTCATTGTGAGGTGACTGCAGACACTCTGCCACTGTGTTAATTAAGTCTTGTGCCAATTTCATAACATTCATTTTGTCATTACTTACTGCATTTTAGTTGTGTGTTTTAGATATGTTTGCATTTCAATTGTTAACAAATGTGTATAGCTCCTGTCAGTCAGTGAAGAGGTGGCACTGTGTTTTTCAATAAGAGCAGTCAGCTTGCAGGCAGCTTTGGCCATCTGGACCCACGATAAGGAGCCTAGTCCAGACACCAGTGTGCTTTTCCATTCCTTTCAATTTTATCAGAGCGACTGATCTGATCTGTCATTCTGTCTAAATATCAACCTTGGGTATTAACCATGTATCTTTTGTTCCTCTCTTCTCACATATGTCTGTTTTATTCCCTCTCTTCCTCTGCAGTTTGCTGTTTTGTGGTCCACAAGAGGTGCCATGAGCTTGTCACGTTCTGCTGCCCGGGAGCAGATAAGGGGCCTGACACAGACGTAAGTAACCAGAGCCCAGCTGTGCTCTGTCACAAGCTGCCTGTTAAAGAGCAGCTTTTTCTCTATGACACTTAGGTGCATATAGCCTCCAGGTTTATTTAGTGGAGAGAGAGGAGGGCCCTAAACAATACCTGGTGAAAAAGGTTGTGTTGGCCAAGAGTGAAAGTCCACTTACATACATATTAGCCTGCTGCTCATGTATTACGTATTACGCATTTTAGAGGGAGTGCAGGTTGGCCTCTGTAACTGGAGACATGTCATTCATACAAGTCAGTACAGTGCCTTTAAATAGAGCAGAGCAAGATGACACACAAGTCGTAATAGCAGAAAATAGTCCTAGAGACTGGTTCTTGGTTGAAGATGACACCGACTTTAGAGAAGGAACTAGAGGAGAACCAGGTTCACTGTGACAAAGACACTAGACTTATGTGACCCCAAGTCACATACCACAGCTGCCCTGTGCCTTTAAGGCCTGCCAGTGGCAATAGACACATTGCAATTTGTCTTACTATTTCTGCTTGTTTTATATAATCAGATAGATTACTATTGCAACAACACATCATCAGTAGGATAAAACTAACCTTTCTCACAATTAAGCTGGGTCTAACTCCAGCTCACGTTCCCTGTTAGTGGGTGAACAATCCAATGCTTGGTGAATTCTGCTTCACAATGATAGGAAGAGCCGACATTGAAGGATCAAAAATTGATTGTCTGTGATTCCCCACTACTCAAAACTTAAGTACAAGTACATAAGTACCTGAGCCTTCTTCTACTTGTTAGTATTTCATTTGGGAACACTGCTGTACTGTTGCTATGGGCAACCACATATATCACAAGGTTTGATGCCTCAGGATTGTGTAGATTAGGACAGCAGTAACTCCCTGTACATAGATTGGCAATTTGCAGAGCACATGTACCTGTATTCTATGGCTTATGGCTTTTATGACTGCAACTCAAACACAAAACACAAACCATCAACCTTTTTACTTGTATTTGTGTCATTTAGTAAACACACCTAGAACTAATATAGGAGAAAGGAAAAAACCCAATCACTGTACTTTCCAATCATGCATGTAATTGTACATATACCACAATATAGAGTATTTAGTGTACCGCAATATTCTTTGCAGTCAGTGCTTTATTAATGTGAAGGTAGCTGCTAAAGGTCACATGTATTAAAATCAATTTGTACAATCAAAACTGCTCATGTCATCTCAAGTGTTGTGGTGTAGATTACAGTGGAGTAAGTTCACTTGTGGTGCATCACTAATGCATGAGTTTCCCGTTTCACTTCAGGGCCTCGCAGGTGGAGCTGAGTTTGACATGTTTGTATTTGTGTGGCTGCATCAGTGAGGTCCATTTTATCCCAGTGGAGCAAGCAAACCTGAGCACTGATTTCTCTGCACCAACATGAACACTGGTGTCCACTGCACAATTTTATTCGTCTTATTAAATAGTTGGATGTCCCACTACATGACGTGTGGAACAACACATTTGCACACTGTGTGATGGTGCCCAATGCACATGACCAATTATGGTTATGTTGAAGTTAATATCAGGCTCTATGTGGTAACGTCTCCATAATTGTACATGTTCCTTTCAGCACAGATGGCCAAAATTGTGCAGTTGCCACCCGGTTTTAGGCATAATTTCTGTCTTTATATTTCTGTCTGGTTTTGATGCTTGCTGACGTACTTTGTCTCATTGTAAAGGACCCTGCTTCTTGTAAATTGAATACAAGATTAAATCAGTGAGTCAAAATTATATCATGGTGCCACAAAGCATTTTGGTTGTCACAATGAGCCTTCTATCAGTAAAGGGCTTGATGTTCTCAAAGGGTTGGTTCTAGGTCTATGCCTCATTTGTAATTTATTTATTCATTTATTACATGTGCCCTTTCATATACAAAGGCAAAAATGGTGTTTGACACAGTAGTACGATTATTTAATTTATTTAAAACTGCCAACTCATATTAGAGGTAATTTCCTCTAGTCCAATGTGCTGGTGTTATGTAATAGTGTGTGAATCTGGTCTGACCCCCACCATGGTGGTTTGCAGGGCATGCTTTCTGCTGTGAGTGTGCACAAGCTGCGTCTCACATCATAAAGAAACCTGAGCTCACATATTTGAGCTGGTGCTGTGGTTTAATTTTGGTGTGTGCACACTGACATGTCCCAGAGGCCCAGCGCTGCTACAGAACTATGGGGCTATGTGGAAGTGCCTTCAGTCTCCATTGGTAAAACCACATACTGACATTTACTGTGACTGCAAAATAGTATTAGAACATACAATATACAATAACTGCATTATTGATTGACATCTTTAGCCATGTGTCTTGTGGGCTCCTGAGTACATTTAGGCACAATATCTCCATGCAGCAGATCCCTAATGAGTCTGTGTTTGCTAATAGGCCAAGACACAGCTCTAAGTGCTCACATGACCTGAGGTGTGCGTGCAGAAATGCTGACTCATTTCCTGCTGGAGTGTTTCCTATGTGAGTAGTTTGCATTGGTGTTCCCTGCCTTTTTGACTAGAGCTAGTAGAGGAATTACACAAACAAAGCAAACAAAGTGTTTTTAATGTTGTGAAATATAAGTTGTTGTTCTAGACATGACAAAGGCACTGAAAATCATAATACATTTATTTATTTATTTTTAGTAAAGATAAAACCACATGAAAATCACACCTGGGTCTGAGCAATTCAAGAAATGTGATTTTAGTGATTACTCTATTCAATTGCAAAAAATGTAACTGAAAATAAATGAATGAATGATCTTCTGTTCAGAATATGCACTTGCTCTGCCACTCAGTAACATTTAAATCTGCTCTGGCTCTTAAACAAAGCGGTCACAAAACATTAGTAATAAAAAGGTTTGAAATAATGATTTTATGTGCCAAATAATTGTGATAACAGTTGAGGAGCCACAGTCACACCTTTTGTTACTTATTGATCATATGTACCATAAGCAAGACAACAAGATAACTGTATCTTTCTGGCAAAAGAGTCAAGTAATTTGCAGCTAGTACTGCAACCCAAAATTACTCATCAATTCCCATATGATGAGTTACACACAGAGGCCAGTTACGTCGCCCGGATTGGCGTCACCGGGGCCTCACCCTGGAGCCAGGCCTGGGGTGGGTGCTCGCCAGCGAGCGCCTGGTAGCCGGGCCTTCCCTCACGGGGTCCGGCTGGGCTCAGCCCAAAGGAGCGACGTGGGGCCGGTGCATAGGGATCAGGGCAGCAGTCGACGGCGGGGGCCTCGGCGACCGGATCTCCGGACATGGAGACTAGCTCTGGGGACATGGGGGAAGGAGCCTGAGCTGGTGCGGGAGGTTGAGCGTTACCGACTAGATATAGTCGGCCTCACCTCCATACACAGTTTGGGCTCTGGTGTGGGCCTGCTCATTGCCCCACAGCTCAGCCGCTGTGTGTTTAAGTTCACCCCGGTGAACGAGAGGGTTGCGTCCCTGCGCCTTCGGGTCGGGGACAGGTCTCTCACTGTGGTGTCGGCCTACGGGCCGAACAGCAGTGCTGAGTACCCGGCCTTCTTGGAGTCCTTGGGAGGGGTACTAGACAGTGCACCGACTGGGGACTCCGTTGTTCTACTGGGGGACTTCAACGCCCACGTGGGCAACGACAGTGACACTTGGAGAGGGGTGATTGGGTGGAACGGCCTCCCCGATCTGAACCCGAGCGGTGTTCCGTTACTGAACTTCTGTGCTAGTAACAGTTTGTTTATAGCAAACACCATGTTTGAGCACAAGGGTGTCCATAAGTGCACGTGGCACCAGGACACCCTAGGCCAGAGGTCGATGATCGACTTTGTAGTCGTGTCATCTGACCTCCGGCCGCGTGTCTTGGACACTCGGGTGAAGAGAGGGGCTGAGCTGTCAACTGATCATCACCTGGTTGTGAGTTGGGTTCGCTGGCGAAGGAGGAAGCCGGAAAGACCTGGCAGGCCCAAGCGTGTAGTGAGTGTCTGTTGGGAACGTCTGGCGGAGCCCTCTGTCAGAGGGACCTTCAACTTGCACCTCCGGGAGGACTTCTCCCGGATTCCGGGGGAGGCTGGAGATATGGAGTCCGAGTGGGCTCTGTTCTCGGCCTCTATTTTCGGCAATCCCCGAACCCGGTGGTGGACACCAGAAGTAAGGGATGCCGTCAAGCTGAAGAAGGAGTCCTATCGGGCCTTGTTGGCTCGTGGGACTCCTGAGGCAGCTGATGGGTACCGGCGGGCCAAGCGTGCTGCAGCCTGTGTGGTCGCAGAGGCAAAAACTCTGAGCTGGGAGGAGTTCGGGGAGGCCATGGAGGAGGACTATTGGACGGCCTCAAAGAGATTCTGGCAAACTGTCCCGCACCTCAGGAGGGGGAAGCAGTTCTTTACCAACACTGTTTACAGTGCGGGGGGAGAGCTGTTGACCTCGACTGGGTACGTTGTCCGGCGGTGGAAGGAATACTTTGAGGATCTCCTCAATCCCACATCACGTCTTCCGAGGAGGAAGCCGAGGCTGGGGACTCGGAGGCGGACTCATCCATCACCCTGGCTGAAGTCACTGAGGTGGTTGGCAAGCTCCTTGGTGGCAAGGCTCCGGGGTTGGATGATATCCGTCCTGAGTACCTTAAGTCTCTGGATGTTGTGGGGCTGTCTTGGCTGACACGCCTCTTCAACATCGCGTGGCGGTCGGGGACAGTACCTCTGGACTGGCAAACCGGCGTGGTGGTCCCTCTGTATAAGAAGGGGGACTGGAGGGTGTGTTACAACTATAGGGGAATCACACTTCTCAGCCTTCCCGGTAAGGTCTATGCCAGGGTACTGGAGAGGAGAATCCGGCCGATAGTCGAACCTCGGATCCAGTAGGAGCAGTGTGGTTTTCGTCCTGGCCGTGGAACACTGGACCAGCTCTACACTCTCCATAGGGTGCTCGAGGGTTCATGGGAGTTTGCCCAACCAGTCCACATGTGCTTTGTGGACTTGGAGAAGGCATTCGACCGTGTCCCTCAT